GGAACAAAAGAGTTCAGAGTGCAGCAGCTGCGCCTCGGGCTGGAGCCTGGAATTCGGGAAAATCCCAATATTTGATGTCTCTGCTGCCAAATGAGGGAATTATAAGTTGATATAAACTGATTTTCTTTGTATTCACTGCTGACAAATGCAGCAATTAACTCCAATCAGTTAATTACAGCCTCGCTCCTCTCCCTCCAGCTTTGCTTTGGGCTTGAAATCTGTTTTTTGTTTGGTTTTTTTTTTTTTTTTTCCTGCTCCTCTGGAAAAGCTGGAAATTGGGAATTATTTGGGGTATTTTTAATTAAATTTCATTTCCATTTAATTTTTAATTTTAATATTTTTATTTAATTTTTTTACGTTCCCATTTTTTCCATTCTCCCCCGTAATTCCATTCAAATTTCCCCGGTTTTTCCGTTCCATTCTCCCCTTTTTTTCCATTCTCCCCAATTTTTCCATTCCATTTTTTTTGTCCACCACCCCTTTTTCCCTTTTCCCTTTTGGGGCTTGTCCCTGTTCCGTGCTGTCTTCCCTTTTTTTTTTCCCCTCACTCTTTTCCCTTTTCCCATTTTTGGGGGTCAGTCCCTGTTCCATGGTGTTTTCCCTTTTCTTTTCCCTTATTCTTTTCCTTATTTCTCTTTTAGTTTTGGGGGGGCTGCTCCCTGTTTCGTGCTGTCTTCCCTCTTTTTTTAATTTTTTTTATTTTTTTTTCCCTCTCTTTTCCCCCCAGCCCATTTTTTCCCAGTTTTTCTCCGTTTCCTCCTGGGAATCGTGGCTGGGATTTCTGCAGGACCCACATCCCATTCTCACCCTCCTCCTCCTCCATCCTCACACCAAAACCATCCCAGTCTGCTCCAAATCTGGGACAACTGGGACACCCCGGCTGGGGAAATCTGGGAATCTGCCTCCTCCACATCCCTAATTTTAGTCCCTGAAATTCCAGAGCCGTCAGCCAAGAGCGGAGCCCGGAACAGGCGGGGACAGAGGAGCGGGAGCCGATCCCAAAAACATCCCAAAATGGGGCTGGAGAGTGGGAAATACGGGGGGAAAAAAACGAGGATTGGTGGGATTGGAAAATCCTGAGGGATTTGGGGAAGGGTTTGGA